GCATTATGGTAACCATTGTTGATCACCTTGTATTATGTTTTCACATTATCTATTATGTCCACCCCTTTGACTTGACCGATTCTGTTCTGTTATGTCACATTTGGTTTTACTCTCTTCCAAAAAAGTAATAAGAACCATGGGAGCAATGAAACCCAAAATGTGTAATAGTCATTGTACAAAAGAGAGGAAAAGAAAGTGCTCTGTACTATATAACTGCATGTATATTTAAGTGTATAAGATAGAAAATGATATCACAGAGTTTTATTGGATCATTGAACAGAACTGTTTGCAGTATCATTGATGGAATGTCTACTTTACAAGCTTTAATTTTGTGACTTGAACAATTATTTCTAAGATGACAATATGTAATCCATTAACTAGTAATTTCCTACTGTTCATTTTTTTTTCTGCAAATCTGTATAACTTGTACCCTTTCTCTGCTTTTTTTCTTTTCTCCTTAAATAAAATTAAAAAAAATAAATAAATAAATAAACAAATTCTACTTCTTACATTATTGTGTATTAACTCTATTAATACCGAATGATTGAGCAGAACATGATGTATTTGCAGATAAGATTTTGCATTTGCACTATTGTCTGATATAAATGAGCAGGGAACAGAGGAAGATGAAGACTTAGTTCTCTGACACTGCAGATAATGAGACCCTTTATGCAGCTGACCTGAACACCTGAACAACGCAGAAGCTCATCTCAGGAAGCAGCCTGATACTTTCCTTTTGTGAGTATGAGCTGAAATACATATACTAAAAACAGTATCAATGTTTATGTGGCTATGGTAGGGCTGGGAGGAGCAGGGGTCAGCATATCGTGTTAGCAATTTTCTGCAGAATCACATTAGAGTTTCACTGTGGTAGCCATATCACATTAAAATCTGGGGCTTTTTTTTTCTTCTTGCTAAATGGGTTCCATTGTGTATGTAGTGAATCTGATATGGAAAATTGCTAATGCAATAAGAGTATCATAGAAGCTTTCCTGACTGTAATGCTCAGCCACAGTATTCTGGAGGAGGCCCAACTGGACTGGGGGATTTCAGAGTCACTTCTCAGAGCCTTTTGACAAGTCCTTAGCTCCAGTTCAACACTGGCTTCTTGAAAAACAGACCTTTAAGATCTGCTCCATAGATGAAATGCTTGTACAGATTTACAAGTTCAGCGAAAAGATTAGTCATTCAATTAATATTTATTGACTGACTACTATGCAGGGCACAGTGATCAACCCCATTAAGGGAATGAAACAGTAGGTAAAACACAGCCACCTCCTGTAAGGATCTTGTAAGAATTGTCTGAGGAGAAAAAAATTAATCTATGAGTAACTTAATACAAGACAAAACGTGCCAAGAGTGGTAAACACGAAGAGATCAGAGGAGCTCAAAGGAGACACACCTGGCACCGGCACCGGGATCATCACAGAAAATTCGCGAAGGCAGTACCCTCTAGTCCCGCCAAACCAGGGAAGCTGCAATCTACCTGAGGACCTTGTGGAGGGGAGAGGGCAGGAAAAGGGACTCTGTCTCAGCTTGGGTAAAGGCGTACAGAAGAGGACAGCCAGGTTATGCTGTATAATTCACTTTCTGCCTTTCAGATGAGCTTGGAAAAGGCTCAGCCCAAAGCTGACACCAAAGGAGAACAGTTTGTGAGGGGAATGGGGAAGATGGGCATGGTGTGGTTTGGGGCAGGAAGCGGGGGCGCCGAGCAGCAGCCACCTCCAGCTTTCAGCAGCAGTGTGATGACTTCTAATGCTAACAAGGATCTTGAAATCTTAATAACTTCAGTTGACACAAATTTCCCAAAAGACATAATTTACAGAAATGTTTACTTTACAAGCTTAGTTTATTGCAGGAAACATCTATTTACATTTTGCTATGTCCCTACTCTTAACATAGATATTCACTGGCATAACACCATTACAATAAGTACTTAGGAAATTACTGTCCTTTTTAAAGAATAACTTTTCAACTCGCTAGCAACAGTAACCTAGAAAATATAAATCTGACAGCCTAAAATTACAACAATTTAAGGAGATTCATGCTTTTGATGTTCCGTTATATTTACTGTTTTATTCTGTACATACTCCTGATTCTAAATTCTTCCCCAAATGCTCAAAATAATAAACAGAAAGCCTGTACTAAGCTTCATTAAAATTTAAAAATTTAGCACTCTTGAGGGCAGAGGCAGGACTGAAACCTTGATCCCAGCCTGGGCAACTTAGTGAGATCCTGCCTCAAGATAAAAATAAAAGGGGCTGGAAAATACAGCTCAGTGGTAGAGCACCCCTGGATTCAATCCCCAGTCCTGCAAAAAAGAAAACCCTTAAAATTTAATGTGGTATAGTTGTGAAAGCATTTATTCGTCACCATCTTTACCTTCCCTTAAATCGGAGCATACACTATGGATAAGCATTACAATTTTTACATATTTCAGTTGAACATCATGAAACAGCTGTGTGGCTTATTACATAATAAAGTCAGATACACATAAGTGGATTGGCTCAGTGCTACAGTGCCACTTGCTAAACACCATCACTCCAATTTAGCAAAGTATATTCCACTCTCTAGTTAATCAGAATTAAAGTATCTGCACAATTGAAATAGAGTATTTTCCTATTATGAAATAACTTCTTAATTTTATCTACCCCAACGGGCTACATTTGAAAGCATGAGCAAATTTTTTAGTTGTTTACTACTTACAGCTATTTTTAGTAATGTTTCATCAAAAAACAAAACCTTTGGGGGCTGGAGATTTAGCTCAGCGGCATAAGCGCCTGCCTTGTAAGCAGGCAGTTGTGAGTTCGATCCCCGGTACCGATAAAAAGGAAAAAGACAAAAAAAATTAAAAAAAAAAAAAAACTTTCATTCTCATGTCTTAGGTAAGCATTCTCATGTTTTAGGTAAGATGCTGCAGTTCATACCCGTGAAAACCTGATTACTTGTTATTCAGGGATGTATAAGTAAGAGTGAAGAAAAATTTAAAGGAAAAATTCAAATAGGTTATGTTGAGTTTAAAAAGACTAATATCAAAGATGCTAGAACTGTAAGTGGGACATCGTTTGAGGAACTCAATCCTCTGCAATCCTCTCAATCCTCTGGTTCCAAACTGAACTGATTGAGAATCAAATGAAATTTCCCCATAAGGTCAACATCAACCCTAACCCCTGTATTTGACTCACTTCTTGTCCAATTCGGTTTCAAACCAGAATCAGGTAAAGATGTTCATGAACCGGGGCGCCATATGTGTACTTAATGGATTAACCTAAAATTGGTCTTTTGATTTTTAGTAAACAACGCACGGCACTGATAAAAACGAGTTTGCCCTGATCAAGAGTATGCTGGCATTCTCTTAGGCAGAGCTTGAAACCACAGAACTCCTGCATAAAACAACTCTGACAAAGACAGCCAGTCAAGCAGAAAAATGAAGTTGGTTGTGTCAGAACAGATTCGAGGCCTAAGGCTGTCTAGTGAACAGTCAGCTTGCCCTCACTGAGGCGATTACAACCACTAAAGGTTATTTTTCTGATATATTATTCGAAACTTGTCATCTTGTCATATTTAAAATGCTTATCTGTAAACTACCGCATCTATTTCTTATCTGCCGTATCCCTGATAACCACAAATTTGACAGCGGTCCAAAATCATACTCGTGGATTCCTACCAGCATGGGGAAACTCGTTTATTGAATCCTTGTCTATTTCGAGTACAGAATGTTTGGGTCTCTTTTTTTTAACTTTCTTTTTTAAATATAGACCACTATTTTTTTTTAACTGTAAACACCCAGTGGCATTCCCTCACACCGACAAGAGTCCTAGCACAGAAGACATGCCTGAAATACTCACATCTCCTTCACCCAGACAGATTCTGCAAACATGAAGCTATTGCCTACGCAGTAACCTTATTAAATGTCTTATGACTTTCTAGTCATTCCCCATTATTCTAGCCAAACCACATTTCCAAGATATCATCTGAGAAATCTAGGAAGTCACTGAAAGGGTACTTGTAAAATAAATCCATTAAAAGCAACTCACTGTCCTCGTGGGTGTGTGTTCGACTGAATTACTGGATAAAGAACTTACAAACACTTTTGTTCCAAAGCTAGAACTACATCATTTATAGGAGTCGCAATCGCAGCCTAGAAATAAATCAACAGAAGTATTTCTAAACTATCATTTCAAATTTCCACGGTCGAGGGTGGGAGGAGGGAAAAAGAGCGGGGCGAAGAGTTGTCAGTGATTAACCATCCACGCCGAGCTTTCGCCCGCGCTGCTCCTGGCGCTCACAAAGCCGGCGTCGCTCAGTCTCCGGCTCCGGCCCCCACCGCGCACCCTCCCCGCGGGCAGCGCGGGCACCGCAGGCCCGGGGAGGGACAGACGAACCCGGGCTCCGAACCCATCCGAGCGCAGTGGCCCAGAGATGCTGGAACAGCAGCCCTAACCACCACCATGCACACGCACACGCAGACACACACGCGCACACACACACACACACGCTTCGCGTGCCTCGAAGGTAAGCAGAGCACCAAGTACGGGGATGAGACCGGAGGCAAGCGAGGCCAGCTGAGCCCCAAGAGTCGCCACGACTGCCCCACACAGCGCGCACACGCGTGCCCAGCGCTCCAGCCACCCGAGCGGGCGAACGGGTGGAGCCGGACCCCGCGGCCGCCTCGGCCGCGCCCCTCCCGGCCCGGCCCGCCCCGCCTCGGCTCCCGGGCGCCCCCGCCCCGCGTCCACGCGCGGGGAGGTCGCGCGGTGCCCGGCGGCCGCGGTCTGGGCGCGGCCGAGTCCCCGGAGCTGTCCCCACCCCAGCCCACGCCGAGCGACGCGGGTGACGAGCGCGGAGAGCCGAGCCCACCGCAGGACCTCGCGACTCCCCGGTGGAGAGCAACTTGGCACGGCCCGCCGCTGCACCGCGCGGCCCGCAGCGCTTACCTGGCCCGCGGCCGCCCGCGCCCCACCCGGCCCCGCCGCCGCCCGAGCGCCCCGCGCACTCACCGCTGGCTCGCGCGCCCCGCGGCTGCAGAGCGGACGGCGGCGGGACCGAGACGGCGGCTGCAGCGGCGGCGGCCCCAGCCGGCGTCAGTCAGACTGGAGCCGCCGAGCCTCAGCGCCCGTATTAGTGCGCCGACCTGGAAAGCGGCCAGGCGGCCCTGCTCGCGCCCGCCCCGCCCGCCGCGGCCGCCGCTCCGAGCGCGGGGAGGGGGCGGGCCGGGCCACGTGCGCGGAAGCCGGCGTGGGGCCCGCGGCCGCGGGGCACCGTGACCTCCTCCGGCCCGACCTCGCCTCCGTGATCCCGAGCCCGCGCCTGCCCGGCCCCCGCCCAAGGTCACTCCCTGCGCGGGCCGCTGCGGCCGCGTGGGTCGCCTCCAGGCTCTCCCTCCCCAGCGTCCCTAGGCAGTCTCGCCACCACCTGGAGCGCCAGGCTGCTAAAAGGGGTTGACACTGTCAGGAAAATAGAGGATCGCAAACACACGGGTGGGGGACCCTTCCACTCTTCCAACCGGCCTTTTCTGAGCCCTGTGGTGACTGCTACTTGCTGTTTCTTTATGCACTTTGCAGGGTAAAGGGATCCTACACCTATCGGCAGTGCCAGAGCAATTGTACTGGCACAGAAAAAAAGTAATCACTCTGAAGGGTGAGTAGTGGTTCAAAATAATACTATAATCGTGTAGATTGTAATTTATTTACACAAGCATACAATATATAATACTACCTAATTTGACCTTCTGGGCACACAGCAATTTTAATATACAGTGCGGTGTCACCTAGGTGAGCCTCCTCTAGAGGTCATTGTGGACTCCGACTCATTCCAAAGTGCCACTGATGCCCTGATGGCCTCAGATGTCCCGTTACGCAGTAGGGCTTCTCAGAAACAGCTTTGACTGTAGGACATGATCGTGGAATAAAGCTTCACTGACCCTTTGTATACACACATCAGCTCCTTGAGGCCCTGACTCTACCTCCCAAACGTAAACACAACGCTTTGGGTTCAAGCTGTTTTTTTCTAAAAGCACCACACTTCCGGCTAGATGATGCTTTCACCTTTCCATACCATTGATGTTGAACAATGACCTTGTTTAAAATACACTGCAGAGAACTTTAAACACCATGTGTTAACCTTAAATTTAAGTCATTTTTCTAACAGGGGCCATGTACTTAGGCTCCAAGGTAGATGTTAAGTTTGAGATTGCCCTGGTGAAATGTACCAGGAAGCATGCAGACTGTTAAAAGCTACAGATACAGCAGAGAGTATTTTAAGGATTATAAATGGCGTGCACTTTATTGCGAGTAAACTAATTAGGTCCTCGGAATTGATACCTTGTGGCTCAGGTCTTACAAACATGATATTAAGAAAAGAAACGGTCCATCACTCTTCCTTTCTCCTACAGGAGCAGGACGCAGAGGACGTGATGCAGAGGAGGAGTTGTTACCTCTGCAGGGCTGGCTTGTGCTCCTGGCATGGAGTCTTTCTAAATTCATGGAATTCTCTTGGCTGTTGGCAAGATTTTGATTTACAGACTACATAAATATTTGTAGTCCGTTTTTTCCATACATTCTCATTTACATATGGGGAAATGTATGTGTTCTGGTAACTTTTCCTCCCTAAAGACTAACATCACTGATATGATTCCTCTCCTGTATTCCTCAAAACTGGTATATAAAGTTAATCCATCAGAATAATACCTGGTGAGTTTCAATGGTGAGCAAGTTTTAGTCTTGAGAAGCAGGGCTAAATGTTGATTCCCTAAACTGGGGGTAGTGGCCCACTTCTGTAATCCCAGCACTCTGGAGGCTGAGGCAGGAGGATTGTTGCAAGGTTGAAACCAGCCCAGGCTACAAAGTGAGCCCAAGGCCAGCCTGAACTGTATAGTGAGCCCTGTCTCAAGAAAGCAAAAACAAGAACAAAGAAGATAAATGTTGATGCCATTTTTCAGAAGTTGACTCCCCTGGTTATAGAAAACCTAGTTTGCTTTGTTTTTCCCCCATGATACCTTGACTGGCTGCAATCTTACTGCTTAACAGAACTTGTATTATGGGGATAATATAAGAGATAATAATAAAACATTGTATTGTGGGGATAATATGAGAATTGAAAGTCAGCCGTTGTGATTTTGTGGAAATGCTTTTAAAATGTTGATTCAGATCATAAAACCATTGCAAAACTAAGATCTTTCTTTTCTGAAAGATTGTAAGGTCTTAACTGAATGTGAACAGCCTCAGTAATGTAAGAGCAGCTTTCTTGCCCTTGAGTGGGTTGTTTTGTCTTATTTATTCTATAGCGAGTGCTATGCATCTCCCAAAGACTTGTGTGTTAAAGGGTTGGTCCCCAGTGGTACTTTTAGGAAGTGGTGGACCTAAACTAAGACGCAGAGCTCGGTGTAAGGAAGTTAGATCATTGGAGGCTGGCCTTTGGGAGACACATCGGGCCCCTCTCCCCCACTCTTCCTTTCCCTTCTCCCTCGCCATCTCTTTCTCTGTTTGCACACCCACCTTCCTGCTTTCTAACTGCTGGAAGGTGAACAGATTCCTCCACCACATGCTCTGCTACCACAGGCCTCAAAACGACAAGGTCATGCAGTAATGAATGAAACCATGAGCCAAAATAAACCTTTCCTTTTTATCTGTTGATTTAACTTGGATATGTATTACAGAGCTAACAAGTACACCCACCATAAAAGAAGATTGTCACAAGATTGGTCACTCAAAGTTAGAGTTATCTTGGTACATCTCTTGTACTTTATGTTTCATCCAGCATGGTGATGGTTCCACTGAGTCCTGAGTGGGAATTGTAGCTTACACACCCCTCCCACTTTAGTCTCCTCTGGACATTTTATCTGCAGCTCTACACTTCTGCCTCTCCCACAGGGTTTACTTGAAAGTCATTCCATAACCACATTGAGGACCAGGTACTTGGACTGACTATACAGTACTGGCTCTTAGTAAACTTCGTCTAAGAGACGCACACAGCCCAGTGATGATCAAACTGTGTGTGTCGCTGCAGGGGAGGAGCATACAAAGTGGTGCCCAGAAGAACTCTGTAGGGAGAAACTACAGCCCCAGCCAGCCTGAGTCCAAACCCCGGCATTGAGCAGCTACACCTCGCTGTCCTCCGGCATCTCACAGTGGAACTGTCTAGAGTTGGAGCAGAACGAGACACGGCCAAGGGCATTCCAGGCCATAGAGCAGAAGCCGTGGGCGAGCAAAGTTGGTGTGGCTAAGAGGTAAGGAGAACACTGAGGCCGGCTAGGTATGCATCAGGGAGTGTCTGAGACACTAGGAAAGCAGGGAGGGATGGATTTCATGGACATTTTATGGAAAGGGATATTAACAGAAATTGGAGGGGGCACCCCAAAACCAACCCTGGAGGAATCGGGATGGGAGAAAAATACTATCTTTGGAAGGAATAGGTTCTATGAAGCAAGAAACTGCTTCGGGGAAAAACGATAAGAGAAACTCACCTTTTTCCTTCCAGAGTTGTTCAGCAAATTTATTTACTGTTTTTCTTTTCCATTGTGGCAGCATCGGAGCTTGAAATTCTACAACCTCTTGTGTGTTCATTTTGACTGTCTCCTCTGGAGGACGCTCGTTTCTACCACTTCTGCGCAACCTGGAATGATACCTGACACGTGATATGACCTCTCTAAGTATTTGTTGAGTGACTAACATGTTTGGCATGTGGTTTAAAATATCAGGAAGGTGATTAGTGGGCAGATGTGGCTTGGAATGTATCTGTACAGGTGATAGCAGAAGCTTGAGAATGACTAAGATCCATGATAAATGGAATATGCAGAAAAACTAGAAGGGGGCAGGAGGAAAAGGAGTCTAGAGAGCAAGGAATCCTTCCAAAGGTAAAAAGATGATTCACGATTCTACACTTCTCTCAGCCTCCCCCGTACCCCCACCTCTCGTCCTTGATCCCTTCTCTGCAAAGCCTGGAAAGCGTGAGGCAGGCAGGGCTCACTGGATGACAACACTGCAGGCTGCTGGTGTCGTGTGAGAATGGGGACACAGTTTCAAAAGATAACACACATCTCAAATTTTATGGAAAATCTGACATTTTAAAAAATGTGGCCAACTAGCTCAGATATTTGTTAAGGGGCTGGCCAAAGACAATATGCATGCGCCAAGTTTCACTGGCAGTGTCCAATCCCTGAGCTTTATACTCTGGGGCTCATTCAGCATCTCTTTTTTTCCCCCTATAGGAGAAACAGTACCTGAGTTTACTACTTCAGTCAAATCTGAATTTTCTTATGTGTGTGCGGAGAGGGGCACAAAAGCCTTTCCCAAACCCGTGTAATGCGTGCCCTTCACCTCGCTGTAAACATCGCTGAGCGGTTAACATTTGCTCCTGGTCCAGCCCTTTTACCTCCCCGTGTGTGGCTTCTGCCTCTCATACCATTGCTGGATATCAGTGCTAGTCCAGTATTTTTAGAGGTGACCAGTGCCATCTGAATCATTAATCCAATTAGTTTCTTGATCTTCATTCTTTTCTAAATTTTGGCATGTCAATAAATTCAGGTTAGTACAGTATTGAAGTTAATAAAGTTCATTAATTCATTTAAATTGTTACTTGGTAATACATAATTTGGGAATCATTTCAGAGACTAAGTAGGACTGACTTTTTTTAAGCCATCGTAACTATTTTAAAGACAAGGACACTCACATTGTTATACAATATGATCTCTAGAACTCTTCCATCTTTTAAAATTGAAATTCTATTGATACTAAACACTAGTTGTTCCTCCTTTTTTCCCCTTAGAAATCACATTTCAGCCGGGCATGGTGGCTCATGCCTGTAATTCCAGCACTCCAGAGGCTGAGGTGGGAGGATTGTTGCGAGTTCGAGACCAGCCTGGGCTACAAAGTGAGCTCAAGGCCAGCCTGAACTGCATAGCAAGACCCCATATCAGAAAAGACAAATAAATAAATAAATCACCTTTCTACCTTCTGTTTCGATGATTTCTGACTCCTTTGAATATTTCATATGAGTGGAATCATAGTTTGTCCTGTGAGTGGTTTATTTCATCCATCATAGTAACTCAAAGTTCATCTGTGTTGTAGCATTTGGCAGGGGTTTGGTATTTTTAAGGCTGCATACTTTCCACTTTTGTGTATATATCTCATTTTCT